GATAGCTGATAAATGTGAGATATCAGCTGAATAACATAAAGAGAATGGTGAAAATTTCTTAGAAAGCAGTGAACATTGCTCAGACACCAGTGAATACGACTTAATGATAAATGTTTCGTGAATAACACTTAACGTGAAGAAAGCATCGAAACTGATTATTGTGAAGAAAACAGAGAATCCTGTTTAACGTGAAAATAGCAATAATATGTATGTATATATATATATATATATATATATATATATATATATATATATTTGTGTTCGCATTTGTGTTCATCACGTGTGCCCCAAAGAATGAGGTGATTTGGTAAAATGCTATGCCCAAGATTACCATCCGAGTGCCGGCGGTGGGGTGGTTCAAATAGCTTCGGCTATCACCTCATTATGTCCGGTCGTGATGGTCAAGTGGATTAAGGCGTCTTGTACATACCAGTTGCGTTGCTCCTGGGAGTATGGGTTCGAGTCACTTCTGGGGTGTGAGTTTTCAGTTGCATATTGTCCTGGGGACCGTTCAGGCTTGTTCATATATATATATATATATATATATATATATATATATATATATATATATATATATATATATATATATATATATATATATATATGTATATATATATGATAACAGTTGTTACACACCAATAACAGTGGTTAGATGTCCTTAAAACAGCAATAGTTATCGATGTCCTGCAGATAATATGAAGGTAGAACAGCGGAAACATTTTATAAACGATGATTTAAAAATAACAGTGAACTCCGAGAAATATTTTAGTTAGTTTTACATAGAATGAAAAACATTAACAGATATCAGTGTCAAAATAATTTTTGTATACAATAGTTTGTTGGTGACTGTTAGTACTGTAATTTGTGAAAGAGTACTCAACATATAAATGTCAATTATGAGCACTCATGGACTCCTCTGAATAAATTATTCCGGCTTAATCAACCAGGCTGTGATTCATATGTCAGGCTGCGAGGAGCCGCGACTATCAGCTTGTTTGACCAGACGACCAACCGGGAGGCCTGGTCGGAGACCGGGCCGCGGGGCGGTTGATCCCCGGAAGCTACACAAGCTAGCACAAGGCAGGTAGGTCTTGAGGATTGCAGGAATGCAATATTCCCTGATAACACATAACTATTGAGACCACTAAATATTATTTGAAAATAGATTGAAACACAATTTATGGAAATCACGTTCGCTTCTGTAACAGCCGAAAGAATCATCGGCAGTTACTTAACTATCCCGTGAAATCATTAAGTACCGAAACATTGCCTGTTGATAGCATCGCTTCGCTAAGCATCAAACACACACGTGAGAAACAATGCAACCAATTAATTCATTTCCACACACCTCTTCCAGACACAATGCCTTCTCCTTGCATCACTTCAGGTCCCTGAAAAGCTTAGCCGAGCCAAAGACCATAACTAGTGGCGTCATCTTAACGCCAATATCTCACGTCAGAGGTCGGGACTCTGGGTATGGCGTCGGATACCTCACATAATTCCTTGCTCGGACACAGCTCTAGATGGGGGCACTGATAACGGCAAGATACTAATATGCGGTTGATAAGGGGCAACGGCAAAGGCGTTGATACAGCCACGATAGCACAATTTAAGTTAATACAGGCACGAATATGGTAATGGTAAATGGGTGTGAAAGGGGTGACGAAGGCACCTTTTCTTCTCCTTTACTAGCTGCCCAATCAGGCACAGGCAAGCCACCACGACTCCTGATAATCTGTCATAATATCTCACTGGCAGCTGGTGACTGCAGCCCGGGCTTTATAGAGTCTTCCTGGGCTTTATAAAGCCTTGGCTGAGAGAGGATGAAAGGGTAACCCCCCAATGCTCCCTCTTGTAATTAAGTGTCGCTATTTGTTAATGATATTGTAAGGCTTTTTGGTGAGGGACAGCTACGTTCCTCAGTGAGAAGTCTCCTCTCTCTCCTTAGTGCGGAGAGATAGGTGAGCAGGGGAAGATTATGGACTGAAGATTTCTGTAAGAAGGTTATGTACTACAGTGTACTTGGAAAGATTATATACTACAGTGTACTTGGGAAGATTATATACTACAGTGTACTTGGGAAGATTATATACTACAGTGTACTTGGGAAGGCTATGTACTACAGTGTACTTGGGAAGATTATATACTACAGTGTACCGTTTGAGTATTATGTACTTGAGTCTAATGGTAAAAATTATGTTCTTCGGTGTGTTAAGGGAAGATTATGTATTTTTGTGCACATATGATTATATATATAAGTGTACAGGTGGATGATTATATACTAAAGTGTATAGGTGGGCGAATATAAATACTTAAATGTACAGGTGGATGATTATATATAATGTTGACCAAACCACACACTAGAAGATGAAGAGACGACGACGTTTCGCACTGTTAGCACTGTGCGAAAGTACATTAGCACACTACTAGCACTGTGCTCTGCCTTCCCTTCATATCTCAACTCAAAACTCTTACTAATACCCTTCGTCCTCTTGACATAAATCTCGCCTTTCGACAAACTAACACACTTCGAACAATTCTGATTCACACTTCTCTTCCTGCTTCTAATGCTATTGGTGTCTTCTCTATTTCCTGTTCGTCTTGCCCTCTCCAATACTTTGGGGAAACTGGCTATATACTTAATGACAGGTTTAAGGAGCAAAAAAAGATGAGTTAAGTCTGCAGACACAAACAATGCTTTCTTCTGATGTATTTGGGATTCTAATCATCCTTTTGATTGGTCTTCCTCTAAAATAATCTTTCCTGACTGTACTCTTCACAGACGCCGTCTTGTTGAATAGGCTCTGATACACAACATGCTCAACATGAGCCTTAGTCCTGGCTTTGTTGCTGTTGACTCTTCCCTTTCACAGTATATACTCAAATGTTCAGAACTCTCTAACAAATGTGACCTAACGTATGCCTACCCATACACTTTTCTTTTTCATTTTTATGTCTTTTCCTTTCTCTTCTTTTTCTTACGTTCCCAGTCTTACTCCTATTATTACTCCCTTTATTACACCTATCCCTTCCATATCTTTCGCTTAGCTAGTTAGTAGTAGTTATAATAAGTTAGTAGTTAGTAACAGTTGATTGACAGTTGAGAGGCGGGCCGAAAAAGCAGAGCTCAATCTCCGCAAGCACAACTAGGTGAATATTCACACACACACACACACACACACACACACACACACACACACACACACACACACACACACACACACACACACACACACACACACACCTCTCAACTTTTTCAGTGTCAGAGTAGTTAACGGATGGAATGCATTAGATAGTGATGTGGTGGAGGCTGACTCCATACAGTTTCAAATGTAGATATGACAGAGCCCAGTAGGCTCAGGAATCTGTACACCAGTTGATTGACATGTTGAGAGGCGGGACCAAAGAGCTAAAGCCCCTCAAGCACAAATATGTAAATAGAAATAGGTGAGTACACACACACACACTCGAACACACTCACACAACCGTAATTTTGGATCTAGTTAATTAATCAATTGGCGGCTCCTATTCCACGGAATAACCAATAGGGTGAGGCCTGTTAACGCCTGTTAACTCTCTCACCCTATTGGTGAGAGAGTTAACAGGCGTGATCTCTCTCAGCCTGTTAACGGGAGTCAGAAGCGTCTATCACCTCCTGTGCCCACCTGTGAAACAGAGAACGTGAAGAACTAATCAACAATCTTCAAAAAACCTTACGAGGCGCTTATGTAGCAATATTATTTCTGCTGCGTCAGAGATATATGTGCAGACCAAAGTGAAATACAATACGTGCCAGGACAATACAACAACAACAAAATACAATCATGAGGCGAGATAAAAATCCGTCGGAACGGAGCTTACACTAGTGATAAATCACCGAAAATGAAGCAGTTTAAGCGTTCGGACCGCCCATTGGTCGACACCACAGGAAGGGTGAGATCGTGGATGCTGATTGGCGGTGATGAATGAGCTCCTTCCACGATTTACATACATTTTGACACGTGATTGGCTGAGGGTATTTTAGGGAGAATTGTTGATAACCACTGTGCGCATAGGCTGTATTCCAGCGTCGAGGGGTTGTTAAGGCCCCAAGGACAGCACTTAGACTGCACACACACGCGTAGTCCTTCAGTGTGGTGAAGGGCAGCACACTTCCAGCCACTTAGGGTTTAATTCCCGTAGTCTATCCTCATAGCTCATGCCCCTTAGTTCGGGCACTAGTCTGATGGTAAGGCTCCTCGGAGCAGTCAATAACGTGCATGACACACACACACACACACACACACACACACACACACACACACACACACACACACACACACACACACACACACACACACACACACACAACCAAAGCTACTACACAGTCACATCAGGAGGAAGACAACAGTGAAGGAACAGGTGATGAAACTTAGGGTCGGCGAGGACAGGTACACAGAGAATGACAAAGAGGTGTGTGAAGAACTCAATAAAAGGTTCCAGGAAGTCTTTACAATATAACAGGGAGATGTCACGGCGCTAGAAGAGGTGGCAGCAAACCAGGTGACCTTGGATAGGTTCGAAATTACAAGAGATGAGGTCATTAAGCACCTATTAGAGCTGGATGGGAGAAAAGCTGTTGGGCCGGATGGAATCTCGCCATGGGTATTGAAAGAGTGTGCAGGAGCACTTTGCTTACCACTCTCCATAGTGTATAGTAGGTCACTGGAAACGGGGGACCTACCAGAAATATGGAAGACTGCTAATGTAGTACCAATATACAAAAAGTGTGACAGACAAGAGGCACTGAACTACAGGCCAGTGTCCTTAAGTTGTATACCATGCAAGGTGATGGAGAAGGTGAATCATCCCCTCACCCACCAAGCACGTAGATCATCCCCTCACCCACCAGGCAGGTGAATCATCCCCTCACCCACCAGGCTCGTAGATCATCCCCTCACCCACCAGGCAGGTGAATCATCCCCTCACCCACCAGGCTCGTAGATCATCCCCTCACCCACCAAGCGTGTGGATCACACTGCAACAAGGGCGCCCTTGACGGTGACCAGATCTCTAACACCTCGACCCTCAGTACCTTGAGAGGCGTGGCTCTTAACGCCCCTCGCTCACTCAAGGCCTTCACTCCCACCGTGTCTGATTGCGCCCCGTGGCCACAGATGGGGGCTATAATTATCAACTTAGCCAAGGAGCACTTAGATGAAGGGGAATTTCATGGTGGATGCTGAGGGGTAAGCTGAGGGGGGAGTGTGTCGTTATAGATGGGTGCTGCCGAAGCTGTTTGTCAAGTGGTCGAGGTGTGATACCTGGCCAGGCATTGTACCTGGGGGAAGGCTGAAGGGTTGAGTGGCTCTTAGTAACCTTGTTTGGTGATAGTCTCATTATGATGGGCTTTAACCGTTGTTGTTTATGATTTTTTTTCAGGATCTGTATCTGTCTGTCTCTGTCTCTGTCTCTCTCTCTCTCTCTCTCTCTCTCTCTCTCTCTCTCTCTCTCTCTCTCTCTCTCTCTCTCTCTCTCTCCTGAGGCCTCAGTAGGATTAATATTGACACACCCAATAAAACAATAACAATAAGCTGTTAGTCAACATCAACTCAAACCAATAATGACACAAGAAATTGATGTAGTTAATGCTTATGCCAACTAGGCACCAAAGCCATCGTGTAATTGGTCGACATCATTTCACACTTACCAACGTGAAGAGCGAACTTGCTCCAAATTCGCATCATCCTAAGAATGAATGATCGCTGATGACATGATGTTCTTGAGAATAACAGCTAGCATGAGAATGTTGATGCCTGAGCATCAACTCTTGTGTCGGCCTCTTGTGTGGGCTCTTGGTGTCGCGGCTGCCGACTTCTGTATTTTCTTTGAAGTTGGGTGAGATGGGAATCTTGAGAAACTTCGATTTGTAAATAACATCTCTCCGGTGTTGGGGCTTTGGTGTACTGACCAGTCCAGCCACAACGGGTCAACAACAGAGATGAGTATTCTAGCCATCACGGCTGCCGTAAAGGTGTGAGAAACGTCTTACGGCTGTAATTTGTCTTGGCTGCCACGCATGCGAGGCTCCACACATTGCTCTTCGTGGTCATTAGAAAGTCAAATTCCATCCCCGAGATGCCAAGTTCATCAGTGAGCACTAGATTTTCCCACTTATTCGTATGCCAGTCCCATGATCAATGTAATATTATCTAGTTATGATTATGGCCAGTGTTTCCTCTGCAGCGAATTCAACCCTATTTATTTTATTAATAATGTTGTACACTTTATTATGCAAGGATACAGGTATATAGCTGATTATCTACCTATCTGATTATCTAGACATCTACTCAAGGGAGGAATCTGCATAAAAATTCCATTAATAAATCTAGTAGCAGCCGGTATTTCCTTGGAATGGGTTAAGGTTATGGTGCGGTCATTAGCATAGGCTAGAGCCATGCGAACAACGTGATCATTAGAGTAAACTCTTGTCAATAAGGGACAAAGGACACTACCCAGTAGTACTCATGTGACTACTGAGTGGTGTTAAGATCCAGTTCCATTAAAGACTTCAATTCTCGTCTGCTTTTTAATGTAGTCCCACATAAATTGTAGAATGGAATTTAAGATACAAATTGATTGCAGAATAGCAGTTACAATGTCCAGTGCAATAACAGGTGGATTCATTTAGTGGATGATACCATTTAATGCAAAGATTCAACAAGAGATCAGCAACAGGACCACCTTCCTTGGAACCAAATTGTCGACTATACACAGTAACCGTTGAGGATCACAAAATGTTGTCTTTTGTGGTGAGTTTATTGTCCCAAGGATTTTGCCAGTAACTAATGACCACCTGTCAGTGGTCAGTGGCACCTACTGACCACTTATTTTTTATGTAAATTGGAACTACATAATTTTTTTTATTGGTATTTTTTTTATTATTTTTTATTGGGAGTTTCTGTCTGACTTTGAGTGATCTCATTGCCTTGCCTGTGTCTGGTGATCTAAGGACTGTTAAATAGTTATCTCATGTTTACTAGTCACTGCTAAAAATGTTATCCAAGTTGTTGGAGCAATCCATGGAGGTTGTCTTGTTTGGGATCACAATCTTGTATCCAGGCGTCAAAATGATCTGCCAGTTATGGCAGACGGTTTGGAACAGTTTCATCTTCATGATTGAGTGGATAGATTGTGGATAGATCATCTTCTATTTAGCTTTTCATGTTGGTCTATAACTATGAACCACGAGAGTTCGAATCCATCTCTTGTTGATGTAGGATTTATTTTCTTCTGATTCTCTTCTGATACAATTCTTCTGATTGTTGGGGCTTAGTTCCTGAACCCTTTATGTGCCTCTGTAACCCTTTCCATAAACGCCCATGTGATGGGTTGTTGTTATTGTTATAGATTCAGATACTCGGAACAAAAGTTCGAAGTACCACGGGCTACGGTGAGCCTGGAGTGGACTTCGGGATGGGTATGGGTTGTATAATAAATAAATGGATCTGATTTTTGTCAACATCTCTCTCTCTCTCTCTCTCTCTCTCTCTCTCTCTCTCTCTCTCTCTCTCTCTCTCTCTCTCAGGAAGACTATAAAGTCACAAGTGTTGATAGAGGTTTAACACACACCACACATCTCTGATGGGAGGACATCCCGCCGGCAGACACAGGCACGCGACCCTGCCTCACTGCACCTGACTTACTGACACAAAACTCATCATTATTGCAGGTGCTGACGGGAGAGTCTTTTTGTGATATTGTTTTGCGTGGGACAAAAGACAACGGTTTGATCTTTAAGTTGAATTAAATGTGTTGTAGAATGGGGGAAAAAATCTCCTAAAATTTAATATGATACTGATTCTCATATCAGTGTAACTTGGAGTACACGAAAGAATATAAGGTGTACGACTATAAAATTCTTAAACATTTATATATACTTGTAATGTTTGATTACAACTAAAGGGATTCATATATATATAAAAGGATACTCTTTATAAGACAACTTTACAAGAATTTTGCACATTATGAAATGAGGTATAAAAACAGGTCTAATTATAATAATTAATCTATAATTAGGTCAAACCAGGGCCTAATTGTTTATATATGGGATTTCTAAATGACAATACAAATTAACATTTGGTACTCAGAAGCCTGTCTTACCCCTTTTATTGACGATTTAGTTTTGAATTCCTCATAAATCATTCGACGATACACAAAAGGAAAATAATACATGCTGAAATCTGGAAGGAGCCGGGAGGCGCAGAAGTATCTTAAATACATGCACAAGATGCTAGAGCTTCCATCAGCTTTCTCAAGAAAGCAAAACCTATCTCATCAGGTGGAGCTATATGACAAGACCACCAGTTACATCCAGAAAAAAAAGTCACTACACACTGGAGAAACTCAAACAAATAATAAAAATAAAAAAAGGAGATTAAGGTGGGTGGTGTCAGATAGAAAGATACAAGGTGTTGTAGATACAAGTTTAGTCTTGTCACTTCAGTCACAAGCAGAACACCCTTCACTTTTCCCCTGCTTCTTGGAGTAATAGTAGTTTGTGAATATTACGTCTGTAATTTAACGCATCCGTCAGTGAGCAAGTATTGTCATAGTTGGTCCTTAAACTAATGCAACCCTCATCTAGTGAATTCTCCGTACACTGTACTCATGTACTTGTAGTCTGCTAATTGTACCATAATGGAGAGGGGAGAGGGTAGTTTCAGTTCAGGTCAGGCAGCTGGTGGTAGTACAAGAGGGAGCTCCACAGTCAGCAGTGACGTGGTCATTTCTCTCTCTGGCAGGCGGATGGTGACGAGTATTGCTGGACGTGCATTCCGCCTCACGGTGGCCGGGTTGGCCACAGTTCAAACATTCTAGTGTTCCCGGAAGTGGAAGATACTGACGAGAGTTACTCCTGGAGTATGACCTTGAGCCATATGACCCCAAGGTAATACTCCAATAAAGAATGATATACTTCATGCTGACTTCAGAGACCACTCGTCTCACCAAGCCATCATTCCCGACCTAGAACATTGCACAGAGCAGACCTGTACTCATTCGTTTATCGACCAATCAGTAGAAACACGCCGTCAAAGTTCTCAAGCCGTCAAGTTAAACTACAGAGTTCTCATTGTCCAGTCAACGGCCAGGATCATGATGCGCTGTGCTTGACAAATTAAGTTAAGTGAATCTAGGGCTACCATGGGGGTACGACCAGAGAGATCACCCTGTCGCAAAGTGGAGCGTTGTGATCGTGTAGTATCATACACATCTGTATGTTCATGTTATAGGAGAGCATGTCTGTCAGTTTGTATGTCTACACTTACCTAGTATTGCTTTTTTTGCGTTTCGGTTTTTGGGTCCCGCCTTTCGACTGTCAATCTACTGGTGTACAGGTTTTCCGAGCTCATTGGGCTCTATCATATCAACATTTGAAACTGTGTATGGAGTCAGCCTCCACCACATCACTTCCTAATGCATTCTATTTATTAACTTCTGTGACACTGAAAGTTATTTTTACTGTCTCTCTGGCTCATTATGGTACTATGTTTCCACCTGTGTCCCCTAGTGTGAGTACCACCCGTGCAAGTAATCTGTTCTTATAAACCCTGTCTATTCCCCTAAGAATTTTGTATGTGGTGATCATGTCTCCCCGAACTCTTCTGTCTTCCAGCGACGCGAGGTGCAATTCATGCAGCCTTTCCTCATAACTCGTACCTCTAAGTTCTGGGACTAGTCTAGTGGCATACCTCAGAACTTTCTCCAGTTTAGTCGTGAGCTTAACGAGATATGGACTCCGTGCTGGAGCTGCATACTCCAGGATTGGTCTTGCATGTGGTATACAAGGCTCTAAATGATTCCTTACACAAGTTTCTAAAAACAGTTCCGATGTTAGCCAGCCTAGCGTACGCTGCTGATGTTATTATTTTGATATGGGCTTCAGGAAACAGGTTCGGCGTGATATTAATTCCTAGATCTTTCTCTCTGTCCGTTTCATAGAGGACTTCGTCTCCCATTTGGTACCCTTGTGTCTGGCCTCCGGTAACGACATTAAGGCTTTTGTTAAAACAACAAAACAACACGTTCGCTATTCGTACAGCCCAGCACTCTAGTGCATTATATTTACATTACAGTTTAAGATAATTCTATCGACTTAAGAGGGGCCAAATGCATTGATAATAGTAAGGGTTTCGTTAAAAGAAATTTCATTGAGTCAGCCTTAATCAAACAATGTAACAACAGCCCTAATGTAAGCCCTGGAACGTACAAATTAGATCCCCATATAAGCTTCAATATAGCACGTTAATACAATGTAGCATCCATTTAGCCTGTTTTTTTCTTTTAGCTTTCCAGCCGGCGGTACTTCTAAGGATTAATCACCATTAACCTGTGCTTTTGTTGATTCCTTTTATTCCACAATGAGAGGAAAGAACATCTGTTCACTCTATTTAATCTTCCTTTTTTCCATAAAGTAAGGTTTCATCCCCTAGCTGTTCCTGGTGGTCAGGTGAACTATCGTCCTCCTAGGGGCAGGGAATAAGTCTTACCCACCAAAGATTCCCTCCAAACGGGCTATTCATGCCCGTGCCATCTCTTGTGGTGGCTTAATCGTCATTAATCATCATCTTGTCCATCGTGCTCGAATAGAGCCTAAATCGCTTTCAGTATTCTCTAATTCTTTATATGTGAGTTTTCACCCATACTTGGATCATTTGGCTGATTCCCTGCGGGTGGCAGCGCC